ATAAGAATTAGGAAGCTCTGCTTTTCCTCCCTGGCTCTTCTAGGAACTTCATACCATCTGTGCGGAGTGGGGTGTACATCATAGCTGAATTCTGCTGAGCGACTCTGTGAGTTTCTTTTAGGACTTCTCACTGAGGAACCAGAAAAAAAATATTTTAACTGTAAAGTAGTCCAGCTATGAAGCAATCATCATTTTAGAGATGTTGTATGTGTGGACTTTCAGAGTTTCAGTTTAAAAATCATCAGAATTATTAGCATGTTCTCTGCTCCCTTCTGTTTCTTGGCTAAGTCAGTTTAAAGTCCTCATCACTACTATAATAGTGCTCATAAAACATAAAACCCTGAAATAAGACCCCAGCACTTTCCACATTGCTTCATTAGGACACACTGTGTAATCCAGTTGTATTTGCATTCGGCAGGCTGGAATTCCGCCATGCTGTGGTTTCTGTTGGAGACTTGGGAAGAAGTTCTCCCTGGACTTGGGAAGAGCTGTTAGCATCCTTGTCCTACTCAAACCACAGGCATTTTCCAGGGAAAGCCCATGGACTCATGTTTAGCAGCCCTGAGGCCTGTGAAAAAGCAAGACTACAAAATGAGAGAATTAGTGGAACTAGTAATAGCTTAGGATAAGTAAATATTTCTGATAGACACTAGTTCTTGAACTCCAAGCTCTTAAAGCTTAGAATTCACTTTTCTTCTGTTACTGAGAAAGTAAATGTTCTCATGGACAGGGCCTCTTTTTCTCAGCCCAACACAGAGGTTGACATGATGGCCACACCAACCAGGGCACAGGCAAACTCAGAAGAATAAGTGTGAGGTCCTTACCTCATAGTCCATCAGGATCAGGTGTAGACTTCACTGAGAAGGTGAGCTTGTCTCTTAACAAACTTCTGCCAAGTGTGTCCTCTAACATAGGGAAGTGAAACCATTTTATAGCTTGTATTTATTTTGGCATTTACTTTCTATGACTATACTGAAGAGTCCAAATGTTTTTCTCTATCCAGAATTCCTCTCTCAAGATCCAAATCTGCGTTTCCAGCTGCCCTATTTTGGTCTACAGGCATTTCTAACATGCAGTAGTAGGTCCAGAACTAAACTTATCACCCTCAGACTCCAAACCTGCTTTTATCTCTGCCATTCCTTAATTTCAGCCAGTAACTTCTTTTTCCCATATCCAAATGGCTTTCAAACAGCAAGATAAACATTTCACAGCATGACTTACTGTGCACAACATTACAAACAGACAAGACTTGAACAAAAGGTTCACAGAACAATGTGTGTATTTACAATGCATCTTGCCCTCTGATACTTTTTCTTGTATTTCATCTTTTAAGAAATGCTCGTGTCAATTCTCTAGATGAATTTTACATACAAGCCCTCAATGGGTCACGTGACCTGCAGTCGGAGAAAACCTGAAACAAATAAAATGTGGTCTCCTTGGATTCAATATCTGGCCTCAGCTTCCCATCCCATAACCGGCCTATAGCCTAGTCACACTATTCTCAGGCACAGCATTCTCTCCATCATTCAGTCACTGTCAGTGTTTATTGGGTGTGTATCTGGTGCCAGGCACGTAGTAAGCTCCTGGGATCCAGAGAGGAGCATCACGTCCTCCACTCTGCAGTCCATAGTTAAGGTGAGACAGATAAGTAAACTAGCGATTACCAGGCAGTGGGTGGGTCCCGTGGTAGAAGTCTGCAGAAAGTACTTGGACGTTACCAAGAAGCAGCACCCAACTTGGACCAGAGAGTCCAGAAAGTCTTTCAGGAAAAGGTGACTCTTGGGCTGAAGCTACAAATAGAGGTACGGGTGGGAGGTTCAGCTGCCCGATCAGAGGCTGGGCATGGAGGAGGAGGAGGACGGGGACGGGGCCTTGATGAGGTGGGGGCTGCGCAGCATGTGAATTTGGAAGACTGAAAGTCTTTGGACATAAACCTGTCTTCCACCAGACGCTCTGCTGGCACTCCCTCCCACTAACCGTCTTCTCCCAGTAGGCTTTCTCCCTGCCCACAGAGGTCAAGTGCCCTCTCACCTTATTGGCCCACTCCTCCAGGAGAATGCGTGTTATACTGAAGGCAGCTCATCACCACCCCGTTTATCTGCCATCTGCCTCACTAGATCGAGAACACCCCAAAGCAGAGCCCTGGGCCCACGTGTCTCCTGTGAGGAGGCCAGTGAGTGAGTCCTGAATGAGGAGCTGGGCCAGCAGAGGGACAGGGAGATGTGTAAGCCACGGGCAGGGGTTCCAGGAGAGGCTGCTTACACGAATACGGAGACGATTTCTCAGTGTATCAGATGGACAGGGGCCTCAGATTCATAAGCCTGCTTATTCGCAGATGTGCAGACTACATTTTAAATGCTGATCACACACCAGAGGCAATTTTCTCTTTATTTCTGTTTTATTGGCAAAAGATTACTTTTGGCTTTCAGAAAATACTTTTTTCCCTTCTAATTTAAAAGTGTCTTGGTAATGGAATTTATTAGTCAATTAGCTGAAAATCTGGCATCAGAGAAAACAAACACCCTCTTTCCCAGTGCACAGATAGCCAGTCATTGCTAATCAGACATTTAACCCAAACCCCCTTTCTAAAATGGCTTTCACGAGAAGCAAAATTAATTTTTCATTCTTTTTCTCCTTTGCCCACCTTATACCCACTCTGCATTTCCTATGTAAATGGTCCATGATTATAGACGGAATTCAAGTTCTGGGATTGCAAACGTCTTACATATGTTCCCTTTTCTGGCAATTTTTATTAAATGGCTATGATATTTAATAATCACTTTGAGATGGAACCCTGGATATGGGTGAGGATAATGTCTGTTGTGGAAACAGACAGCTAGGGTAACAATCATACTTTCATTGGGAGTGAGAGAATAGGGGTGGGGTTAGAAGTAGGGCTGGACTCTGCATGGGTTGTGAGACCCATGGTTCATAGGTTCTATTTTGGATGTGATGGATGTGATGGATTGCCTGTGTTCAAGTCGTGATTTGAAGCTGACATTGCCTCTGTTCAGTTGCTGAAGTTTGGTACTGTTGAACTCCTTTGTCCTTCATGCAAATTTTAGTGGGAGAACAAAGTGGAGCGTTCCCAGACAGGCTGCATGTGCTGTCTGCAGACTTGTCTCCTTCTTTTGAAATTATGATTGGAATTATTGAAAAGAAAGGGGAAAGTGCCTTGTGCGGAGACCCTGTTATCACAATCGGTTATGTCGGAGACAATGCCTCTGTCTCTTTTGGTGTCTTACGACTCTCCCAGCCCTCTTGCCTGCCTCCTCCCCTTCCCCACCCACAGGTACCCTCGCTTGTGTAACTCCCAGTAATTAGTGCTTGAAAAAATCAACCCATTATGATGTCAAAGAACTGTACTATCTCGCGTGAAGCGCCAGATTAGTATTTCAGTGAGAAACATGAGTGCGTGTTTTTAGCCTGATGCAGCAGAGTAGCAAGCAGTGAGTAAAGCACCCACCGGAACTGTGCCACCCTTGACATCACAGCCCTGTCCCCTCTAGAGAAGAAATGCATACATCATCAGAGCTCTCTGTTGTCTTATTGCTTGGCAGTGCCTGCTCATCCTCAGAGACAGAGGGAATAGGTTTCATTTCCTCCCATATCTCCCCTTCCAGCGCAGCGCTTGTGGCTCAGTGAGTAGGGCACCAGCCCCATATACTGAGGGTGGCGGGTTCAAACCCGGCCCCAGCTAAACTGCAACCAAAAAATAGCCGGGCATTGTGGCAGGTGCCTGTAGTCCCAGCTACTTGGGAGGCTGAGGCAAGATAATTGCCTAAGCCCAGGAGTTGCAAGTTGCTATGAGCTATAACGGCACTGGACTCTGCTGGGGCAATAAAATGAGACTCTTGTATCTAAAAAAAAAATATCTCCCCTTCCTCCCCTTCCTGTGCCAGCTTTCTCTCTCACCTTTTCTAGCCTATTTGACTATCTGTGTTTGTCTGACGTAGTTTGAATGAGAGTATCTGGCACTAACTCCCTCAGACAGAGAGTCATTGTGGGAAAAGTGGGTGTTCTAGATTCCCCAGGGGCTGGAGCCTCCCTGACCTGGCCTGGTTTTCTATGGGTGCTTTGAATAGCACCTCATTCTTACATGGTGCTTCCTGTGTGCCAGGAGTGTTCTTATCACAGATGAGGGAGGTGGTGCTGTGACCCTCCAGTGGACAGATGAGGACATTGAAGCTCAGAGCGGTTTACATGGCTAGTAAGTGGAGGAGCAAGGATTTGACCCAGGAGTCTGTCTTCAGGGTCAGAGTGCTTAACCCATAAACTGTGATGTTCTCACTCAGGGATTACCAGGGTGGTTGAGTATACGAGCCATGTGGAATTAAAAATTCAGATGGAATGTACCCAGTTGTGTGTGAGATGGAATGTTGCCCTTTAATTCCTTTTGCCACATTGGTGATGGAAAAGTAGATGGGGAAAGAGGAGAAAGTATGGATAGAAAAAGGGAAAAGCACAGGGGGCATTGTGGGAAGAGGAAACTGTAAATCATAATTAAAGATGTGACCTGTAATCTGAGAATCTGAGCATTCTAAACTGCTGGTCTTGCTGCTGTGAAACATTATGGTGCTCAGACAGAGGATGTGGAGAAGAAATGACAGAACTCTCAGAAGTGCTGAATGACAAGACATGAGTCTCTGGAGTGAAGGACAGGAGCTCATGAAAGAATCCTGAGGACACACACTGGCTGGATGCAGCTGCAGGAAGACGACACCGCGTTGTATGATTCCTCAGCCTGCTTGTTAAGTTTGGACTTGATAAACTATCGCAGACTTAACTTGTCTTACTGCATTCAGCTGCATTTGTCCAAGCACAGAGATTCATCTTGGGTGGCTCTTTAGTTGCGTTTATTTTTACTGCAATAAAATCCCTGGCACAGGATCATGGAAAAGAAAATCCAGAATTTCATAATGTGCAGCGTACTATTTTCTCTACACTTGAAATTTTTGAGTGCTTTGGAAATAATACGTCTGTTTCTTGCTTTCCACCAGGTTCTTGGGACGCCAAATGAGGACACATGGCCTGGAGTTCATTCTTTACCACATTTTAAGCCAGGTAGGTTTCATTAATTATAAGTGACTAGTGCTTCCTGTATGTAAAGGCCAGTGTATAAATGTGATGCACTGCCTTAGAAAATTCTGGTCACTCTTTCTATTGTGTACTTCCTCTATTAATGGAGTTCTTTTGTTTTCACAATTTGTCTATAAAGATAAGAGTTAATGACATCTCTCGTGAGAGATTTTCAGCATATGTGCTTTGATTTGACTGGCCAATCTTGCAGTTACCATTAATTTCATCACTGGTTAGACTAGCATCCATCCCTGTAGAAACAGACTTTAAGGTGGGTGCTATCATCCATTTGTGTCACTTCTTGTAAGACTACCAGGAGAAGTATTCAGTTGTAAAAGGGAAGCATCACAATTTGATGCTTTTTCAAATATTTTTCAGAATTAATAATGTATAGTCAGTTCATTTGAATTTAAATGTGTAAATGTTGTCTGTGTCCTATTGTACAGCATTCAATATGTTTCCATGTCAAATATTTAAATCTTTAAACTGGAAAATCTGAGAGAAAATGCAGAACTTTTAAAATAAGTTGTCCCTTTCCCATCACCAGTAGGTGGCAGTCATGAAACTTTCAGTTTTAATAATTACACTTAACAGGAGAATCTCATACATGGTCTGTTTAATTTTTAGAGGAGGGATAAAAGATTTGGAATTGGAAATTTAATAAAAAGCAGTGAAATGAGTTATTGTAGAGCAGTTCTCTTATTGTTTGTTGTTTTTCTTTTCTCAGTTACAAAACATGTTTTATAAAATGCAGACTCACCATAAAATTACTGAAAAGGATTTTATGGAAGATCTAATAGTCCATTATCTGCTGAGGATAATGAGCTATGAATAATTTCTCTTAGAATAGCCAAGTATATTCTTTTTCCTCTCTTCTCCTCTTTAGGGGACCATCAGGAATAAATTATCAATCCCAAAGAATGACTGAATTGGGAAAGTATTTTTATTCTCAATATTTTTTTCTGAAAGTGTACAGTGTGCTGAGAATTCTTTTGTCTTCATTAGCTTCCCCAGATATTCTCTGTACTTTTACTGAAAATTGAAAATTCTAAATGACTTCTGTGTCCAATTTAAAATGGATTTTTTCTTTTTTAAAACCAAGCAAGAAACCTCCTCTGACTGATCCACTTGTTTCCAATAAAGTCTAAGAGAAGAAACACCCTTTTAAATGATTTTACTGTGAACTCTTAAAGAAATTTAGCTTCACTGTGTTAAGATCTAAAATTTTTAAGTCTTAGGGAAATAAAACAGGAGAATTTGAAAAGATTTGAAATGAAAGTTAAATGCAGAGAAGAATAATTTAGACAGTCATTTGGTGGACCAGGTGTCTGGAGTAGAAAACGTAAGAGTCATTTGTTTATTTTTGTATGAATAAAGTTATCACCATCATCAACATACAAAAGCACTTATTAAATGTGCCTATTCCATTCTGGAAAGAATTATGGTTTGGTGCAAATTAAGCTAACAGATTGTGAATTTCATGAGACCCGGGCTGTTCTCAGTGCATATTTGGCATTCAATGCATGTCTGTTTCTGTGACTTATATTGAACATTGAAACAGACATATATGACTCCTCAAGTGAGCGTGTGTAAACTAGAGTATTAATCTTTTGTGTAAGCACCACAAATACATAGAAGGTAATGGGGATCCAGAAGAATAATATGTTTGATGGTGTAAAGTGTGGGTTCTGATGGGCAAGAAAGAGAGTCCAGACAAAGCTGCGGCTTGTGATCAGAGCAGAGAGGGTAAGTGCTTCCTGAGTTTGCTTGAGAGTGGTCAAAGGGAGAGAACATAGATTTGCTTTTGTCTCAGCCTACTGTGAGTTTTCATGCGGCCCTTAGCCAAACTGTCTGGTGGGGGTCCTGGTTCTTGACCTCACAGACTGCATGCTGCAGGGGAAGAAAAAGGTCAAACAATATGAAAAATAAGCATAGTGCAAAGTACAAAGCCTTCACCCCATTCCAGCTCCCTACCTCCCTCCTTCCCCAGAACCACTGACCCCTCCACCCCAGGCCCCCATTTGTTAGTTTCTTACTTGTATCTTTCTTTCCTTTACGTAAAGTAAGAAATTATGAATGTATATTTTTATTTTTCTCATAGCAAACATAATTTATAGTCAACAAATAAAGGCAATTACAATTTTGAACCTTTCCATGAAACCGTTGCCCAAAGGGACACTACCTGTTGTCTGTGTTAATAGAAACAAATGGGAATGCTGCTTCACTCCATGGTGTGTGGCCAAACCTTTGGATTTTGCCAGTCAGTGGATGACAAAAGCAATTTCAGTATAATTTTAATTAGTATGTTTCTCTGTATGATGGAGTTCAGCATCTTTTCATAATTTTCAGGATCATTTGCATTTCCTTTTCTGTGAACTGTATCTTTTGCCCAATTTATAGTTGGGTTGTCATTTTCTTATCCATGTCTAGGAATTGTTTATATTCTAGGAAATGATGACTGATGGAGAATTCCATGAAGGCATTGGAATTTCCTGCTGTCCAGGGGTTCCCCAGGGCTGCTTGGGCTAGGGTGTGAGTGGTGTTTAGCTGTGTCATTACTATTAATCAGAGTGGATGTTTGAGCTGGAAGAAGCCCTGGAGAGCACCCAGTAGGGCGCTCTTCTTGTGAGGTGAAGGACTTGAGGCCCAGAGATGTTAAAGAAACTTCCCTGAAGTTCGTGTCAGAGGTAGAAGTAGATCCCAGGTCTCCCTGAGTCTTAGTTCAGTGATTTCTTTTCCAGCCTACATCATGGAATATTGTTCTACTGAACGTGTATCATGATTTCTCATTGACCTTCTTCTAAAGGACACTTTACTGTCAGCCTATTAAAAAACATCAGTGTATATATACAGGATCTGATCTCTGTATTTTGCAAAATGTGTACACAAAACCATAATTAAAACTTTCTGTAAATGGCTTGGCACTGAAATGACACGTGGACTCCATGTATGATACTTTCTTTCATCTGTCACAAGCTTCCATTCAACAGCTACGTAATGAGAGATTATTATTCAGGAGTTCAAAATGGAAAGCACTTGTAAAGTTCAGGGAGGGAAAATGCTGCTAGTCCCGAATCAAAAGCAGTGGAATTTAGAAACAATACAATCATTTTATTTTCCAAAATTAAGCAAGAGAACAGAACATTTCTAAAGTGATTATGTTATTTCTAAGGGAAAGATATTCAATACAAGAGCCTGAAATTGTGGTAAAAATGGAATGTCTGCCAATGAATTAACGTAAGGTAAGTACAGAAGAATTTACCATTTCAGACAATCGGGAATGGTGGTATTTTAATGTACTATGCCCCAAACTAAACCTACAGACACATTGACTTTAAAGGCAACATTTAAATATGGACTTAGTTGTACTAAGACTTTGTAATGAATTAGAAAATGTCTCCTTAATTCTGCCTATTTCCTGGCTATTCTGGGACCCCCAAACTGAACAGATTCAGACTTCTTAACTCCAGAGGGAGGAAGTAAATTATTTCAGAAATAAAATACAATGATGATAACACCTTATGTTTGATACTATATTTTATTGTTTACAATGGTTTTTAATCTGTCATCTCATTTAATATTTAGAATAAATCTGAGTTACAATAACATTTTGATCCTAATACTGTTATCCCATGTACAGACAAAGAAACTGAGAACGGGAGGCCCAACAAGATTGTGTGGCTTGCTCAGGGCCTCACCCCCAGGTAACACAGCAGAGCCAACACAGAAATCTTGTTTTTTCCATTGTAAAAAATGAAAAAGGCATCATTCTCAGTGATGCCTGTGCCTCATTTTAAGAGAGGTCCCCAGCCTGCAAACCTGGAACAATGAAAATTGCCAGACTCTTTTCAGCTCTGTTTTGTGGCATGTTGGAAAAGATTGGGAAAGATCTACGTCTTCTTGTAGATACCAGAACCTGCCCTCTACCTGCTAAGTCTGGGCACATTCTTAAGCCCTTTAGACCCATGCCTCCAATAAACTGTCAGCTCCAAAACGTCCTCTACGGATGTTTAGTCTCAGATGTACAATCCGTAGTGGGAACTACCTGCCTTCGTCATCTGCAGACCTGGGGATATTTGAACCCTTAGCCTATACTCACTCTCTTGGCTTTTCCTGAGTCTTTAATAAAGTGATGGAGAAGCTGTGGAAACAGCAGAAATTGTTGTCGGAGTGGGATCTTCTGTGCAGGAACACTAGAAGGGAAGGCATCTTCTTGCCGTGATGTTGCCCTGCACAGACCCCAGCTGCAGTGAGAGGACGCCTGGGGAGTGCAGAAATATCGAACTTATTATTTACTCTTCGAGAAAAATCATGTCTACTCCATCCAGCCCTCATATTTCCTATGGAAATTAATGAGATAATCTATCTTTGTATTCTCTTTATTATTTGTTATTTATTTATGCTGTATGTATGTTTAAAAAGATTTGAGCTGACTGACATATTGATATAAAAGTGCTTTTAAATTGCTAAGAGCATGTAACTACAGAACGATAATATCTCTGCCATTTATACCACGTCCTCTGCCTGGTATTTCCTCCTTTCACACTTGCTCTTTTCACTTTACCCCCAGGTAAAGTTTCTTGTCTTTTTTTTTTTATTTTTTTGGATTAATGGATTAACAGCAATGATAATGCTTATGGGTCAAGGTCTAAGTGTATGGGGTGTAACTATGTGGTGGTTACAAAAATAGACTTTAAAAATTCTTTTTTTTTTTTTTTTAAGAGACAGAGTCTCACTTTGTCACCCTCTGTAGAGTGCTGTGGTGTCACAGCTCAGAGCAACCTCCAGCTCTTGGGCTTAGGTGATTCTCTTGCTTCAGCTTCCCAAGTAGCTAGGACTACAGGTGCCCACCACAACGCCCAGCTATTTTTTGTTTCAGTTTGGCTGGGGCCGGGTTTGAACCCACCACCCTCTGTAAATGAGGTGGCGCCCTACTCACTGAGCCACAGGCACCACCCAACTTTAAAAATTCTTAAGCAAAATGT